GCCAGCCACCACATTGTCAAGGTCCTCTTCTTCTGTTATTGTTATATTACTGTTTTGTTGGTTGGATAATCAATAGTTACGGCCGCGCTACGTTGCGCGTAACGACGCCTGTTAAGAGAGGTTACGTGTCATTTAAGCGTAGACAATGAAATATGATTTCTAATGTCATATCTGTCTGATAAATCTGCGGAATGGGTGGTGTATTGTCCATTCGTTCGGATTTTTCAGCCGCGGATTGTGATTCTGAATTCTCTTACCATTTTTTTCAATTGGTTTCTTTCTCTACCAACATTGTTATTTATTTGTCTTTTTGTTTTGTTGGTCCCTGCTTTTTTTATTTGTTCTATTATTTTTTTCCTTTAACCATTATTTTTTTATAATTTAAATAAACTTAACTGTTTTTGTTTTAATTTTGTCCATAAACAGAATTCTTCATTTAGTTATTTCCTTTCCTTCAGAAATTTTTCATTGTCATTATTTCGTGCTTCTTCTGTAACGTTTATTTTTAGGATTTTAATTTGCTATATCCAACTATGGTGTTTAGTTTTTAAATTTTTCTCTGATTCTTTTAATTTGTTTTAAAAAGACTTGAAATGAATGGATGATCTGAAAAAATATCTGTGATCAAGAATGCAAAAGGCAAATTTTAGGAGAAAGTGACGGAACATTGTAGGGATGGGTAGGAAAATATAAGTAAAAACTAAAACCTGTAGTGAGAAAAAAAAACTTGGATTTAATGGACCATGACATCAAGGAATAGATTCTGCAGAAGTTACTTGTTTCACAATTACTTAAACGTTCACCGTGACCTTTTCAGGTCTATAGTGGGACTGACTGTATTATTTAAAGTGTTGTGTCTAACTTGGTTTTATTTATTAGACTAGCTCTTACAATGGCTCTCGCATAGTTACATTCGTTTGGTGTTTCTTCGATTAGTGTTAGTAACCTCAAACTAACCAGGCCTTTACACTAGAACAAGACGTGGATTGGTTTTTCCTTTTGTTCTTCACAGAACCTGCTTAGTGTTGCTTCTTCTGTTAGATTGATGACAATCATGTGCCGTTTTAGATGACGGTGTCCGATAAGAAGACCTAAGATCTGTTATTCATTATTTTTGATCCAGTAGATATTTCGTCAAGTTGACTGACAGTTCCTCAATACACTCTTTAGTCTGTTTCAATCCTGGATAGTTGGTCCACCATTCTTTATACTCTCTTTGCAGTAATTGTTTGATGGATGTCTTAACAACTCTACAAAAAGGGTTGGTGCCTGTCATGGTGTCATATCATGGTGTCATCTGAGCCTTCTGGGGCTAACTTTTTTGCATTGCATTCTTAGTGGGCTGGTACTCAAGCTAAATACACTTTAATTTGACTGCTTATCTTTGTCAAGTCTTTTAGGCAGTCTGTCACCAGTCGTGATTTGATTTATGTTGAGAGAATTACCTTTAGAGCTACTTATTAGCAATATATGGCAATATATTTTTCTGATACTTTGTGAATTATTTTTTCTTTTGCACACTGTTGTATATATTACTTTAGTCTAAAACATTGTTGCATATTATTTTTATAAACTTGTGCATTCCACTTGTGTCTAATGATTCCACCAGATTAAACCGTCTATATACCAGGATATTTCTATCTACTTACAGGTTTATGAGGCTGGTATTTGGCATCAATAGTTAAGAGAGTAGTAATGACAAGAATATTCTGATTGATTAGTCCAAACAGTCGGTTAATTAAACAACAAAACATGTTACAAAGTATCATACTCACCGAGTTTTACCATTTTGTTTTGCCATATATGCTATTTTGTATGAATGTATTTTATTTTTTATTTATATATTCTCTGTTATACTACTATATAATTTCCTGTGTCGCTCCCACTGTATAAGTAGCCTGCACATTTTTCTTTAATCAAATACATATAAACTGCAACCATTGCGGTTATAGTAATTTATTAATGAATTCTGGTAATTTATTGTATCGATTTTATAACTAAAAATTATCAGAACATTGTCGTGGTCAGATAGTAATTTTTTTTTTCAATAAGTACTTCGAAGAATGCCCAACCAATTAGGAATACGAATCTTCGAGTCTCACATTTTTATGATGCATGCATTGAGAAAACATTTGTCGTGGTCGTAAAGAACATCCTATCTAATCGTAAAACGAGGTTGTAAAATAGATCTTCGTAAGTTAGTGTTAAGGTTTTATGCGTCCGGTACTGCATCAGGTACTAACGGGCGACAAAAAAGACGACAGCTAGTAGCTCCTTCAACCAAACGCAATTCGTTATCTAAATGATTAAGAACGTTTAAGTAAGTAATTGTGAAACAAGGGACATACATGAGAACCAATTAGCAAGCTTTATTTTTGTTACGTTTATTTAGTGTTAAAATATTTTTAAATGAGTAAATAGCTTTTAATACATTTTATTGTGAATCACTTTTAAACCTGAGAATGTCTGTCTTTTATTGCTTGTTCTTCATTATATAAAGTAGCACTGTATTAATACTCGCATCAGTTCAGCCTCCTTAGTTATTAAATCCTTTATCTTCGTCGGCCAACCTAGTATTTTAAAGTAATTAATTGATAACATATTTTATGTTGGATGGAGTTGGCCAAAATCCGTTGATCAAATTGGATAGGATACTCATAAATGCTTGACAATATTTTATTCTTGTTCATATTCGTCGGTGTATGGAAATCCATTTAAAATATCTTGCCCTCAGCGAATAAGACTCTAATATGCATGGTATTGTAAGATATCAGAACAGAATGTGTGTTCAAACACTGTATTTAATCCACCCATCTGGTACTTGTACCACCTCGAAAGCATAACTTCGGAAACATTATAGTTTCTCTTCCGGAAGAGATTGGTGTGTGGAAAATGTTGAAAAGACAATAATGGCCTACAATGCCTGTTGCGCTATACAGGGTGAGGCACCGAAAACGAAACAGATCGCATATCTTGAAGACACATTTTTTTGGAGAAAATGCAAAAAGGTCGATTTTTATTTCAAAGGAAATATCCTTAGATCATATCCTCAACTGTCCTACATCCCTCCCCACCTCTCTGCCACTATTACCATTGAAATTGAAATAGGGAAAGTACTAAATGTGACACATCATTGAAAAGGTAATTTTATAAGGAATTTGACTATGTGACATGTGACAGTTCAAATAAGCGTATTGTCATGTGAAAGCCAAATTTAAAAATTTAATGCATAATTACCTTTGGAATAAAATTGAACTTACTACACCTATGTTTTCGTAAAATAAATAAAGGTTTTTATTTCCATAACTACCAAGTCTGTTTTTAGTTAAGCGTCATTGATACTTCAAGTCTATTAGCGAGTAAAACATAAAAATGGTTTATTCTATTCAGGAGAGAGTAGAAATTGTTGAATGTTATTTAAAAAATAACGAATGTGCTAACACTGCCTGTACGATTTTCAATGAGCGACACCCTTAGATAAAAGAGACCGGAGATGTAACATTGCACACTGCGCATGTTGTCCGTTTCTCCCTCACGTAACCCACCAATTGGAATTCATTATTTCTACGACGCCACCCGAATTGCTCCGAAATAGTCATTTCTATTCTACGCTCACCTCCCTGAGTTTAATCACCATTGACATTGACCGCTGTTTTTTGAATTGTATGTTGGTGTTATTAACAATTTAAAGTGTTCTACCTATTCAGTTTTAGGTTCAAAATGCCACGATGTATCGTGAAAAATTGTATATACCTATAATAAAAGTGCCAATGTTATAAAAGATAAGAAATATGTTCGTTTTCACCGGTAAATATTTATTATTAATATTTTGACATAACCGCCATGCTCCTTTATGTTGAATTAGTCAGATCCGCATTAAGGTATTTCTCCAAATATTTCGTATCGAATATTTTAGAAAACATATTTTATAGTACTTACTTATAGTTATAAATAAACCAAAGGACAAAATTTTGAACATTTAATTGAGTTTTACCGAAGGTAGGTAGTAAGTCTTTTTTGGTGCGTAAAATAAGAAGTAAAGTAGCATATTTACTAACGAAATCTTGTTTTAAAAATATAGATTTATAAGAATATTTAATAAAGGTAGTTTTTAGCCCTTTTTGGTACATACATAAGAAGTAAACAAGCACAGTTGCTAAAAAAATTTTGGTTTTAAAAAAGTAGTTTTATAAGAATATTAAATAAAATACAGGATAATATACAAAAAATTTAAAAGTTCATCCTATTTTCAGTCAAAACTGAAATTAATTTTGTGCCTATTAGTCTAAAAAACCAAGTAAAACTTTCAATATGACATATAAGCTAAAAATAATAATATTATAGTTACGAGGGGTAGGTCGAAAATATTGTTAATAAAGTGTTACATTATAAAATTTAAAAATCGAAATCAAAAAATAAGAATCACTAAATTTTGAAGATAAATACTCGGATAAAAGCAAGCGACTGACGCCTTTTATTAGATTTAAATTTTAAAATATTTTTGGTTTCAGAGTATGTATTCCTAAAATTGTATGTGACACATACTCTATATTTTTTAGTATTCCAAAAGAAAAAAGTTTAAGAGATAAATGGATACTTGCAATAAATGTTAATAAAGAAGATGTTTTTAGCACTTCCCGTGTATGCCACTACAATTTTAGTGATGATTCATTTGATTATAAAAAATCTCCCTTTGCTCTACATTTGAAAAAAATTGCTATACCCACTCAGGTAATTTTTAATAAATATGTATTAATCATGGAATTATTTTTAATTAGGTGCTTATTCAAAATATTTCAATTTAATATTTATTAATTTGAAAGCTTATAGAACTGCCTCCAAAATCAAGACCTAGCTTGGGATATTATCACCAAAAACCCCCCCTCGATCTGCTGAACGAAAGAAATATAAAGTAAGCTATATTGAATTATGTTATTTGGCAAATCTCGTTTATTTCTAAATAATCGTAAAGAGTGAAAGAACATGTTGTTTACTTACAGGCTAGTACTTCAAACTCTCAAACTAGCTTGGAATATTATCACGAAAAAACACCCCCTCAATCTCCTGAACAAAAGAAACAGAAGGGAAGTAATAGTAAATTATGTTGTCATTTGGTAAATCTCGTGTATTTCTAAATAATCTTTAAAAGTAACAGAACATACTTTTTACTCTCTCTGCATCTCTCTCACTCTCTCTGCATCTCTCTCTCTCTCTATCTATCTCCCTATCTCTCTTTATCTCTCTTTCTATATCTCTCTATCTATCTCCCTATCTCTCTTTATCTCTCTTTCTATCTCTCTTTCTATCTCTCTTTATCTCTCTCTTTATCTCTCTCTTTATCTCTCTATCTCTTTATCTCTCTATCTCTTTATCTCTCTCTCTTTCTATCTCTCTTTCTCTCTTTGGTTCTATAACTTGCATCATTTTTTTGTATTTACTATTTATTTATTGTTTTACTTATTTTTTTATATAAATAATACAATAAACAACATAATAATACATTTTGAGTTTGATTTCTGGACCCTTTTCTCTCTTATTACGACACCCAAAAATATATATTTACTTTTGCATCACTTTTTCACATAAGTCTGTAGGAAAGATATCGTCTAAACGTATGTAATATACCCTTATCTACAGTCTATAGTGTTGTCGCAACTCAATTTTTAATATGTATTAGCCTTAGAAAAAAACATGTTCAGCTCACAAGGAATCCTCATTTCTTACTCTTCCTATTTACAATATTCTCCTGCTGCACATGCTGCAAATATAATACTGGTAGACAATGAGTACCATTTTTGCTCATAAACGATATTATATTTTGACATTTTATTGTAGTATCTTGTGGAAAAATTAAACGATAACGAAATATTCTATAAAATAACTTTTGTTTTCTATTATAGAATATTTCGTTAGCATTTAGTCACTACGGACATTGCCGCAAGAGACTAGAATAAAATATCGTTGCTTCTGTTTAATATTAATAAAATCACATTAATTTTATTTCATAATAAACATCTTTTAGGTATATCTAATAGTTCATCGTGTTTTTAATAAACCAAGTCCGCCCCTGTCACAGACTTCGAATCTCCTCCCAGTTCCCCCACTCCGTTAACCTTTCTTTAGAAATTGCCAACATTCGCGCAGCACAAATACCGGTATATGTAACATCTCTGGTCTCTTTTATCTAAGGCGACACCCAAACAAACAGGTTAAACGTAAGTACGTTTTTTTGGAACTTATTTCAAAATTTCGACAAACAGGATCTGTTCAAAATAAAAAATGGCAGATTCAAGATCCAGTAAGAAACGAAGCCGTAGAGGTAGCCGTTTTAGGACAGATCCAACTCTTAGTACAACAAAGCTTGCAGAATTATCTGAAGTAAGTGACGGTACCGTCAGGAGAATTTTGAAAGCCAACAAATTCCATCCCTATAAAATTCATTTAGTTCAGGAACTTAACGAAGACGATTTTGTGAAATCATGAGCGAGCATGCTATACAAGATCCACATTTTCTTTATAATATTTGTTTTTCAGATGAATGCGGTTTTTATGTTAACGGGACTGTCAATCGACATAATTGTCGATACTGGTCAGATTCCAATCCAAGAATATTTGATGAAACGCATACTCAACACCCAGAAAAGTTAAACGTTTGGGCTGGAATATTTGGCGATCGTATTGTTAGTCCATTATTTTTACCAGGTACTTTAACTGGAGATACGTATGTATTGGGAATTACTCGAAAACACCGTTGATCCTCCACTGTTAATAGACATAATAGAAAACGATAACCGATACCTTGAAGATCACCTAATATTTCAACAGGACGGGGCTCCTCCATATTTTGCTGCAGAGGTTCGTCAGTACTTAAATCAAAACTTTCCTAGACATTGTATTGAAAAAAGAGGATGTATTGAATGGCCCCCACGATCTCCTGATCTGTCCCTCTTAGATTACCTTTTATGGGGATATCTGAAAAGTAAAATATACGCCACTCAGCCAGGTTCCTTAGAAGAGTTACGTGAACGTATTATTACCGAATGTTGTCAAATAACTCCAGAAATGCTCCAAAACATCAGACAAAGATTTGAGGATAATTTATATTCGTGTATGGAAGTTAATGGACAACACTTTAAGCATTTACTTTGAAGTAATTTAATTTTTAATTATGGGAGTTGTCCTAAATTTTTCAATTTAATTTTTATGTTCACTTTTCTAATATTTTTTTATTTTTATTATGAATTGTCTATTAAATGAGTTTTACTTTCAAATGAAGTACAGATTTAAAATACAGAAACTTTTTCCGCAAGATGGCGCCAAAATCAAAAGTTACGAAATAAACTGTCACACAGTCAAATTCCTTATAAAATTACCTTTTCAATGATGTGTCACACTTAGTACTTTCCCTATTTCAATTTCATTGGTAATAGTGACAGAGGGGTAGGGAAGGGTGTAGGATAGTTAAAAATATGATCAAAAGATGTCACCTTTGAAATAAAATCGACCTCCTTTTGCATTTTCTCCAAAAAAATGTGTCTTCAAGATATGCGATCTGTTTCATTTTCGGTGCCTCACCCTGTATATATTTGTTGCTTAGAATTTTTCTGTTGTAATCATAAGCGTCTCATTATGAGGAAAGCAACGTAAATTTTTCCTATTTTTTTATCTGTCACTTTTTGAAATTTCTGGCATTAAAACATGAACTTTTTATATCGCCATTCTTAAAATCATACTTAATACATACAATACAAATATTAAATACGATCGAGCAAGATACGATAGTTAAAACATGTACATGTGGAACACGACATGACAGTTCCCATAAGTATTGTCCATGAAGTTTTAAAATAACAATTACTTACTATATCAAGTAGGTGCAATAATATATTTGGACCTTACAAATCTGTGGTAACTCCACGTACATGCAATTTTCGGACATCCTGTATATTTGTTTGCTTGTTCAATTTGATAGAGTAATTTTTCTTGAACAATATTATTTTTCAAATGTAGTAATTCCATTGATCATAGTTTTATTTGCCGCCATTGTATTACTGTACATTTTTTACAAAACTAAAAAAATAAACCGCGTAATAATACATTTATTCAATTTCACGCAATAATTCACTCGTAATTCTATCCATCTATCTACGTTCACGATTTGTATAGGCGATCAGTGGTGTACGTGTTCAAAAATAAAAAAGATGATTTGAAAAATTCTATTTTAAAATTTTTCAATACACCTTCTTTTATTTTTGATCATAATAATATTAACAAGAAAGTTTCGCTGTTCGCAAACCTGTCAATAACATATGCCTATCAAGACTACTAGAACAACTGAAGGAAACGATGAGTGCGGGCGGCCCAAGCGGTGCGGTAAAATCTATATTACGAATATTTTAGAATGCCTAAAATAATTTCTGTGAAATGTTGATGAGATACATGCATTTTTTGACAGTTTTGCAGCTGTACAATATTTATGTAGAAGCCCCCACTGGATACTACATACGAAACTAAATGCAATGGAACTGACATAGGAAATGAAACAGAGAAACATGGTGGGAACAAGTAAATGGGACAGCGCCAGCGCAAGGAATGAAGATATAAGAAAACTAACTAAAGAGGAACCAATAATGAGAATGGTCAAAAAGAAACAATTGAACCTACTAAAAATGAAAGTATATAAAATTGCAAGAAAAGTAATGAAAATAGAGAAATCAAGAAAAAGGCAACGATGAAGACCGAGGAAGAAATGCATTGACCAGATTGAAGAGATCGGAACTGATAAGAAAATGCTTTAAAAGAGATAAATACACTAGCCAGAAATAAAAAAGCAGAAGGATATGAGAAAGAAAAAATTAAATTACTCGATTTTCGTTTGGATTGCCAATTAACTTGAAATGAGCAAGTGGAACTTATTGTCATAATCTGTAACCGTATAATTAGAGTACAGAATATTGAGTTACTAGCGGGATAAGATTAGGAAAAACACCTACCAATAATTATCTTTAAATCCTAGTCCATCAAACTAAGATCTCGAGACCAGAAATCTGAACATGCATGGGCAAGAAACAATCTATTAAAAAATAGTATATTGTTAAACGAGTGACGAAAGTAGCATTTTCTGCAAACGAGAGAACGAGGCGCAGCCGAGTTTGATAATGTTTTCATGTTGCAGAAAATGATTATTTCGACGAGTAAAACACTATAACCATAGCTTACTATATAGGATGTACAAGAAGTTTGAATGAGTTGAATCATCTTTAAAGTGATCGCGACTAAAACAGCGATTTAGGGGTAAACCCCGTTTTATCATGTTTGTTTTGGCATCTACCTTTATATTATAATTGAACTTTTCCTTTATAAAATCCTATAAATGAATTCTATGACTGCAACAATAATTGTATAATATCTGAAATTGCAAACAATTACTTTCAACACTAGAGACGAAAGTTAAGTTATGAGATATTCTATCACTGGTGTCGGAACGGGCGTTTTCAGTTGGAGTAAAACGTGATGAAAGTTGTTGATTTTTAAATGGTTATAGAAAAAAATATTTAAGTAATATTATGAGGGTTGTAATATGGAAAGATTTGAATCAATTACTGTACTCATGAAATTAGAAAAATTACAAATAACTGCATTCAAAAGGGTCAAAATAGAGAAAAGATTAAACTTTTATGAGATTTTACCAAATGAGGAGCTTGCGTTCAAAAGCGGCTATCTCCCTTTTTTTACCGATATGCTTTTTTTGCGATTTCACAAGATCTATCAACTGGTACGATCATTTGCGTTCGAAACGGGCTATTAGTATTTTAAAATCGCATATGCCTTTTTGCATCAAAACTGGCTATATCCTCTTTTTGCGATCAAAGGTGGTTATATTCAATAATTCGTTATATTCAGAAATACGGCAACATATTGGTGCATCTGGCAAGACTGTAAGATCTGCATTGGCGATCCCGCGTTGACTACCAGTTATCATCTAAATGCTGTGGAGAGTAGTGCTTGTTTGATCTCGGAATTGACAACGATCCACGTGCAATATGGATGAAGAACTTATTACTGTGGAGCAAGGAAATAAAGGTTCTAGATGTTGTATGAAAAATGTGACAAAACGCCAGACTAAACAGTTATCAAAGTACGAACTAATTGAAATATATTCTACGATTTACTAGTTACATAGCTTTTATGTACAGTTTTATTCATAAAAAAAGCATACAAATGGTTTAGACTCATTAACAGTTTTTAATATAATTCTTATGAGACAGTGACATTTTACTTGTCATGTTTATGAATACAGCAGTAACTTATTTGTAAACATACGTTTGTATGTTTTGAGTTGAGTCTCATCTAAGATAAATATGACCTTTTTTAGCGGTAGTGCAAGAAGTTTTTTTTGCATTTTACAGATATGGTGACCCCGACCCAGCACTGATTCGATTCGGACGGCCTTGTCAACATAATGGCAAATCATTTCAGTGTGCTACAGTTAAAAAACGGCACATTTAGACTTTAAGGCAGAACTTTTATGCAGATTCGATCAAAACTAAACAAGAGATTAGACTGTGTCATATGTTATCCGTCGCTTCTATTGCTCGTCGAAGATCGGATGCTGTTAATGTGGTTCCCTTGAATAATCTTAGTTTCTTGTATTTTATTAAGTGTGACAATAAAGCACGCGGGTGAGTCAAAATTTTTTTGTTGCTGCACTGAGTATCTCCAAACAAAGAGTTAATACTGTTGCAAAAGTCCTCTTTGCAGGTGGAGTCCCGAAGGAAAATAGGGGCGGTGATCGTAAATCTCAAAAAAGTGAAGAAAAAAAGAATGCGCCATTTTCTCAACAGACTAAAAGGAGGCGAAAGCCATTATAACAGGAAAAAGTCTAGAAGAATATACTTGTCTGCAAGTCTGTCAGTTGCCAAGTTATGGAGACGGTTTAATAAGGAATACCCACAAAATCGGGTATCATATTTTATGTTTCGAAAAATTTTTATACACGATTTTAACATCGGGTTTTCATCGCCCGCCTCGGATGTGTGTAGTAAATGTACGCGAGTAAAACAACAGTACAAATTTTAGACAAAAGCTGAAATTAGAAATCAGCTGCTAGTGGAGTACCGCGTACACAGAAAACGTGCTGCTGCCTTTTATGAGTTAGCCAAAGAAGCCCCAGAAAATAGTTTAAGTTTCTGCTTTGACCTTTAACAAGTACAGCCCCTACCTCGGACGGCTATTGGCGATGCCTTTTACTAACATCAAATAAGTTTATACGCATTTTGCTGTGTCGAGCTGTCTCCCCGTAATTCAACTTTCTATGTGTGGCCTGAAGATTATGCTGAGCGTGGCTCAACAGAAATTGCCTCAGCACTTCTTCACCATCTAGATTCTCTTGACTACGATTAAGAAAATAAGACTTTTCTGTGATGGCTGTACAAGCCAAAACAAAAATTTCTACATAGTACGCGCACTTATGTTTTGCCTTAAAAATAAGTCTCCAGAAGGTCTGTCCGATATCTCAATCACTTTTCCAGTCCGCGGACATAGCTTCATGGCTGCTGATCGTTGTTTTGGGAGAGTGGAGAGGTTGCTTAGGAAAAATACTGATATTTTCTAAAGAGGAATACATTAAATTTTATTCAGAAGTCAGACAAGTGAAAATTTTAGGAAATGACTGGAAATTTTATAATGTAAAAGAACTAGAGAAAGTGTACAATAAGGTTAAGGGTATTGCTGAAACAAAAAGAATTTTTATCGCAAAAAGTAACAAAAATCAACGAAATCCTAAGATTGAAGTGAATACACATCTGTATTATCGGTTTGCACCTGAAAACAAATCGCGTCAGATAATGCTAAAGAAAGGAAAAGACGATGACAACCTGGTTCTTAACATAACACAGCCCAGAAACTCTTTACCGGATAAGAAGAAACATAGTCTTAGAAAGCTTTTGAAAGAGTTGTTCGCTGAAAATTGGATGCCGCGAGCAGATCTAAAATGGTATAAAGATTTACTTATTTCTGGTAATGCAGATACAGAAACTAGCGACAAGGAAGAAGATGAGGGCGAACAGGATGTGCCATCTGACTGTTTAGATGAAGAAGCTGCTCTTCATATATAAATATTTTATGTTTCTCTTGTTTCTTTTTTTTTGTTTTTCATATCTGTGTTGAATTTTCCTAATTAAAATATGTTTTGTGTTCCAGTTTTATAATAAAAATATGTTTTCTAAGCATTTTATTTTTTTTTTGTTGAGAATTTTTAAGGCTTTGCTATCAAAACCGTCTATATTCAGATTAATTTTCAATTTTTTTTTTAAAACTATTGACATTTGAGAAAAAATTTCAAATTGCATCAAACTACTTTCCTAAAACACTACAAATAAACATTTTTTGCTATCCCTATGTATTAAGGCGAACCGATGAGAAGTTTTCGTCGATTCCTGAACATTTTTTCTAAATAGATATAGCCGCTTTTGAACGCAAGCTCTTCAAATAATAAAATGTAGTGGTTGATAACTTTAAAATCGCATCATTAAAAATCGAAATTACACGATCAAATAGAAACCCTTCGGTTACGCCGCTGCTCAAGGTTGCTTTCCGTTCGAAGAAACAAATTACAACTGGCTCAAATTGTACATGTTTTTGTCAATGCAAATAATGTCGCTAGAAAAGTAGCCGTTCAATTACACTGTTTTGTTTCAACTTCACTATTTAGAAGAAGTAAGAGTCATTGATACCGATAAAGTGAGTCTCTGAGTCGAAACCGCATAGTTTAATTCAAACTTTTGTCGGAATATATAATTGGAGTACCGTCTGAGTGGTGTTTCGAGGACGGATGGGACATTAGAACAATGGGTATATCTAATGTGCTATGAGCTGGTCACTCTATACAGATGCTTTAACAATACCCGTATCCCTTTTGAAAATTTTGATAGACTAGAAGGTATAGGTAACTCCTCATATTTACAGTAATAAATACAAATATTTTTTGAAAATATTTTTGGAAAAAGTGAACTATATCAGTTCTTTGGGTACCTATACTGTTCAAATAATATCTCTCCTTACTCGAATATAAGATAGGAATGTTCTTTCAATGTATTGCTATACAGGTGTTTGGTATCTCAATTTATTTCAACTCAACTTTTACAGCAACTATTCAACTGATAACATTAACGTATAACGTCTATCATAAAACTGAAAACTGACGTCAGAATCATCCTTACATAGCTTGCTTGATCCTTCTCGAACCTTCTCGAACTGTCGTCTAGCATATTCTTGACAAGTAATGACATTTCCAGACATTTCTGGACTATTTTATCTTCTTTTACTTGTACTTTTACTTATGACGACTGCAGCACACTATAATAGACTGCAGGGTGCTGCGTAACATTGCTGCCTCTTCTCTAGTTATTCGCTCCAAATAACTTGATTGATTACTGGGACCTGGTTGGAGCCAACGGGGAGGATCTGGACCACAATATGGCGCTAACCTTTAAACGTGAACTATCTTGGGTTTACTTCCCGCTAACAACTAAATGCGGTAGATCAGGTCGTTAATTTTATTGAGGACGGTGTAGGGGCCTTCCCAGTTCCGTTGCAGTTTCTGATAAAGTCCTTTTTGGCGCTTGGGATTGTACAGCCATACTGGATCGCCTCTCTCAAAATGTGTCCCTGTGGCATGAATGTCGATTCTAGCTTCTGCTTTATCGCTGTTGGCTTTCAGTCGTTCCCGAGCGAATCCGTAAACCTTTGTCCTGCCATTGCATACATTACATTTTTTACACCAATCCGCTGCATCCCGTCGGCAACTGACCCAAGAAAATCTTTCCCGAACTCGTGCAAGTGTCCTTTTAGTACCAAACTGTCCTCCCGAACGGCTGCAATGAAGCTCCTTCAAGACACTTCTGACATGTTATTTCAGCATTACCACTTGGCAGACTAGGTACATGTACTTCATCAAGGCTTTCCCACTTCCGGTGCAATAAATCATCGTGAATATACAGGGAATCCCACTGAGTCCAGTACCCTTTAATAGCTCCACTGTATTTGTCTATCTCTTGCCAAGTAGGGGTAATTTTATTTTTGTGCCATTCTCGAAAAACTTTCAAATCATTGTCTTTCTTCTGTCCCTTTCTCAGGCTTTCAAGAGTGCTTTCTTATTCGTCGCCCTCTGGTTTGATAGTAGTTGCCCGAAGGGTAACTTTCTCAACTGGTTCCTCCCGTTCTCCGAGCCCATTACTGTACCGACATTCTCGTTCTAAACAGGGTCGCCTGGAGAGAATGTCTGTGTTGCTATGGAGACGGCCTCTACGATGCTCTACTTCCTGCTTATTGCTAGAAAGCCGGCTCGGTGTAGGTGATTGGCTTCTTCGAGACGCATAGCTGCTGTGACTATTTCTTCTTGGACTCTGTGACGGGTTTCGGAAGATTGATTTATGTGACTTTCCGGCCTCATTCGCTGATTCTCTTTTTATAGAAAGAGCTCTGCTTCTACAGGTTCTTTGAAGGTGCCCGATTCTTCCACAATTAAAGAATCTTCTGTTCTCATTTTAGCTATCTCGTTGCATATTTTGCAGGATATTTAATATTTGCGAGAGAGTAGGTTGGAAAATAGCATTAGTATTGGCCTCCTTACTTTCCTGGGATTTAATTTTTCTTACTTTTGCGCGAAAAGATCTGGAGTTTTACCGCTTCATATTCCTGAGCTTCTTGTTATGTTGTCGGCGAAGGACTTGCTGCATTTCCACATCTTGTGGTCCATCAATGAATGCCTGTACTCTGATTTGTTCTTGGAAATCTTTTGGCGCCTATGGATAGGCCAGATGATTCAACCTTCTTATGTCGGCCTCGAATTCCTGTAGACTCTTATTATGTTTCTAACTACGAACCTTAAACTGGCTTTGGAATATCCGTTGCAAATGCTGCTGGCCATATCTTGTCTCCAAAGCTTGGAGGATAGATGAATAACTGGGTTCTTTTTGTAAAACAGCACACTGTAGGGCGATTCCACTTCTTTTTCTATCTCTACGTTTCCTATAACAGCCGCAGGCTACTGCAGGGTGCTGCATAACAGTATTTTTCATCGATATGTTTTAAACAAACAGTCTAGCATCATTATGGCGAAAGTGGTACTCCTTTAATGCCGCCATAGAATCATTGGCCGCATTCAGCAGAAGCAACCGATTATCAAACGATAACTTAGCGATGACTTATCGATTAGTGAATCTCCTGAATGAACTTTTTAGGCACTTCGACAGGCGACATAAAAGTGATATGTACTTCAGAAAAAAGTCATCATCTAAAACATAGGTACAAAATTTAGAATAAAACACCAAATAAATTACTCAACTACATAATTAAAAATTAATGTATTTGCCTGATTTTAATGCATTGTGCAACACTTCATTACCAACTACAATATATTTCATATTGTTATAAACATATATTACTTCACAGTCTTTCATTTCAGTGAAAAATGACAAATTCAGTGTAAAAATAAATTCAAAATAAACATAAAATAAGTTTATAAGTTATGAGCACCACCACAAAACATTTACTTCAGTTGGTATGAGTTCTAAATCCTATCACGATGTGATAACTAATCGTATTTCAAATTCGATGTTTTAAATGGCGGCCGATAACTCATCATTTGATTATTAATCGCTCTTTTATATATCATTCAGCAGAAAATCATAAATCGATTGCTTCTGCTGAATGCGGCCATTATTCCATACTGCTTCAATGGTATAATATGATAAAATTATTTTTATAATATATGAGGTTATAAATTAGTATATTCACTCTATTGTTTTACTAAGGACTGTCTCTTTGTTTCCTAAAAGAGAAGACATTTCTGAAACAACTTTCAATCGGTTGTGCCAAACCTTATTAACGTTCTATGATATATACAAAAAAGTTTCAAAGATACATCTTCTTTTATTCAGATCCCTAATAATTTCATAAACTAGCCTATGTACTTGTTCAATTGTTTCGTTATTTTTATTGATCGTCTCTGGTAGATAATTTTTTGAAATACTCCGTATATTGAGAGTACCGTTAACTTTATAGTTTTACCTTGGTAGTTTTTTATCGTCTATAAAAAAAATTATGTTTCAGTTATCGCTCAAATAACCAGTCATCAATTTCGGCAAGTATCGGGTACATCCATCCCATCAAGCATACAAGACCAAAAACCTCAAAAATTCGTGATTCAATTTAAGATTCATCGATAATTGCTTGGCTACCGAACTTTTTCAATTTTGCCTGTGCAGCGCACCTAATGAAAACGTCGACAAATTTAAATTGGTGACTCTAAGAGGAATGCCAGATTAAATTTCATTTTATAGTTTGATTATACGGAGAGACATGATGTAGCTTTAACCTAGATTTCGGGAAAATAAACAGAATCTTTTAAATTCAATTTAAGTTTTGAGATTTGGCGAATAAATTCCCAATTGTTTCGCAGAGAAGGACTTGGAAAATTTTTGGGTTTAAAATGTTAAATTCTATTAATTTTTTGATATTTTAACTAAAAATGTGTCCCCTCTCTATTTTTACATCTATCAATACCAAAAGTTTCTTGCATCTAACGACAAGTTTTTGTTTTAATGAAAAACCTTTATTAAGTCTTTGGAAATATTACTATCTCATCAATACTTGCCCTACTTACTAGACTACCATAAGGTCTTATAATATAGTAACAAAATAATTACAGCTCTATGCTCTATTTTAAACTGATACAATCAGTTAACCAACTGAAGTGACTTGATCGTTTTGAGTTCTCTTAGCAGATGTGTGTTATCCATGTTCACACGATGGAGCAACTTTTGTTCGTGGACACTGTTAAATTTGGTAATAATCTGTTTACACTATTCATTTGAAGATCTTGATGGATGTCGCTTTTTCGGCAGTACCAGGGTGTATCAATGTTACTCCTTAGTGCTTTATTTTCTAACCGTTGAATAACGTTTCCCTTAGTAACACAATCTTATAGATGAATGCCATATTATGTCTATACTAATTTCAATATCTACTTATAGAAAAGCAATAATTGATTGTATGTAGACAATTTGAAATTCTGCCCTAGCAGTGAATGCATTTTTTCAAATTTAATACCAAG